TACATTAAATTTTCAGGTTCAATTTAAGTAGGTTAACTTCAATTTTTAGAGAATTATGTTTAAGATATCCCCTCTGACCAAAGTATTCAAAAGTAACTGGGCGCATTTGGTTCTTAAATATTATTTTGGTAGGCGTGTTATTTTAAATGTCATGTTCACACAAAAAGAACTCACATCAAAGTTATTTAATAACTGGGATTTTTGAATTTAGATTAAGGTGAAGTTTTTCTTACTTCTATGACAACTAAAGAGGTCGACATGACGAAAAAGCAACAATCTAGCAGAGAGGTAAACCCGGTGCACACAAGAAAACTAGAAAAAAGATGTCTCCAGGATAAAATCATTTTCATGGTGATGAAACCCCTCTTTATGACTGCACAGCAACTCAAGAGGAATGGAGGCAAACATGTTTCTTTGCCAAACAATCAAAGAGGATTTCAGGACCAAAACCACAGCAGATTCTCCAAAACAATGCAAACCCTTAGTTAACCTTAAAAACAGAAAGATAGGTTGCAATAAAGGAAGAAAAAAAAACATATTGGCAAAGGGAAACAAAGTTCTCTGGACTGAAACAAAAGCCTCTATTGAAATGTTAGAGGAAAAAGAAAGAGAAAAACAGGAATCCGGTGATGATCCAAAGCAGCACTTCATCTGTCAGACATGGTGGTACAAGTGGAGGTAAACAGGAAGACGACCCTTCGTCATTCAGCAATCCAAAACATGAAGCCAAGGGTGAAATATTCTCGACTGTCTGAGTCCATCCCTTGATCTCAACCCACAAAATCTGAAATATGATGATTTTCTTTTATTTTGCGTGTATCTGTCCAGTTATTTTTTAATCCCTGCAACCGGGACGCTGTTTTTTCAAATGATTACAACTCACACACAACCCTTTCTAAACTGGTATTACTGGAATGAAAAGTGAGGCTTGGCACTTTAACGTAGTTCCCATTATTTTTATTTGAATGTGAATGTTTGAAACCACAGAAGCTGAAGAAGAAAAAAAAAGTGTAACTGTCCAAATACTTGTGATGTGGAAAATTCTGAGCAACTTTGATACATGTAGCTGTCAATATGTGTGTATGTTTTACAGATTACACAGTTGAATTGTTGCCTTTACTTAAGTTAGTACGTCATCCACCTCTGCAGACATTAATCTTCAGTCAGAGCATCTTGTCCGAACAGGAGTTGTAACATTTAAACGCTATTCAATGCTGTGTCAGTATGTGTCAATGTGCAACAGGATTATAAACTAATTCTGCAGTTAGCAGGGAGTCGGTGAAGCAAAGTGAGACAAGTCCCTCCTTTTTCTACTTGTTTCCTGTGTTTTTGGCTTCACCTCCTTATTGTTTGCGTCCCACAGACCCTCTGCTGCACGTACGAAAATAATCCAGACTGAAAAAGCTGCCTTGTTTGCCCTTTCTTCTCATTTGAACTTTATAAAATCACATTTTTAGAACAGTAATGCACTGGTAACTCCTCTCTTTTTGTCTTGCACATTTAATGAAACCGAGTGTGAGGATATTTCACATTTTATACGTATTTCAACAAATATTTTTTTATTTGCTGTTCCAAAAAAGTCATTCACATTCATCAAAACGTGCAGCACGATGGCTTACGTAATGATGTTACTGGTGTTTGGACTTAGTTCAACCTCAGACAGGTCTGAATCCGTCCCGCCTGGTGCTTTGTTTTACAGTTGGAAAAAAAAAAGTGATGCTTCATTTTCCTCCTCATCAGTTAAAAATATAATAAGGAATTCTCATTAAATCTGAAAAAGTCCTGCCGCATCATCCTCATGAAACAATGCTCGGTGTGTTTTTGAGCCGTTAATAGGACCTGGGGTCTGCAGACGACAAACAACACGAGGGGAAAGCTGCTGCATTGTTATCTAGCTGGACACAGGATAAGGAAGTGTGACTGATGCCAAAATAAATACGGTAAGTGTGGATGATTTTTTCCAGGTCAGACACACAGACAGAGACGTTGTGACACAGAAAACTGATCTGAGCTCAAAGCTGACTTGAATTTGATTTATTTGTTTGCCAAATTGTAGAGCTGAATCCAACTCCAGCCCGTGTGTGATTAATGGCTGTTGATTACACCCATATGTGGTTACTGAACATCTGATGCAGTAAAAAGCTTCCACTCTTTCGGTTTCGGGCTTTCTGCTGAGATTTCGGAACCTGGCTGCAGGGATTTGCTCCCATTCAGCCACAGGAGCATTAGTGTGATTAGGCTCTGATGTTGACTGATAAGGCCTTCCAGTTCAACACATTGTGCTCAGGAGCATTGTCTCGCTACGACAGGAAAGGCGGCTTCCACAAATTCTTCCCACCACGCTGAGTGTAAAGGGCTGGTGTCTAAATATCATTGTACACTGTAGCTTTAAGGTTTCCCTCAGCTGTAGCCAAGGGGCAAAACTCAAACCATGAACAACAGACCAAAACCAGACCAGGTGTGCTGGCAGGGCTCTAAATCTTACTGCTGTATTTTAATATATAAGAATCCGCACAACACAGCAAAACAATACCAAAGAATATAATAAAACTAAAGAGATTTATTCGGAGGTTGACAAAGTTTCCTACTCAAAATGTCTCTGTTCTAGTCTTATATCCTAAAAATACAAGTAGAAACGTTTGAGCTCTGAGTCATCTTGAAGGAGATTTAAACTCCGTCACACGTGACATCATTGCATAAGTGCCGTGTCCTCTGATGAGAAAGTACACCTGTTGGCAGGACAAACATGTGCACTGGGTGTGTCCGTCGCCACACTGCCAGAAATACAAGTCAGATGAGTTTTTTTTTTTTTTACTGTAGTCAACGGCGCTGTTTATCGTGCTGAGTGAGCAAGAGCTGCCCTCACATCACAGTGCCTCCCTGTGGTTGACTCACAGCAAATACCGAAGGCCTGTGTGCCTTTAACAATAGTGAGCCATCATGAGTGAGCTGAAGGAATGAGATGGTTTAACAAAGAGGTTGATAATGGGCCTTTATGTATAATTAATCTCACAAGCTCGGTACAATATGTGAGGCTCTAGATAGCTATAGCTGAGTATTTGGATTGTATGAATGAAAGTTGTTTATTTATCTCCTTGCATCATCTGTGTAGCAGCGTGGGAGGAACGAGATGAGTCTAATGGGTGGTTACTAGGTAGCAAATATAAACCTATACAATGGATTCTGATGCACAAAGTATTTTTACTGTATTGATTTTTCTGTATTATCTGCCTCTTTTTTTTTCTTCAAAATACTCTCACGTTTGCCTCTTTAGGATTCTAAAATGACTCCTTTTATCTCTCTCCGACTGATCTTAAAGACTCGGAACTCCCTGTATGACGGAACATTGCTTCACCTTGTGGATCACGAACAAAAAAAGGCATGGAAATCAATGATACAAGAGTGGTGGCATAATTTATTAGTATTATTAAAACAGGTTGAGTCAGAGGACTCCTTGTCCTGTAGGAGGGGCGTTTCACAAGTTAACAAAGGTATAAGACAGCATGAGATGGTTCATCAGGGCACAAAGAAGAGACACGTAGAGGATTTTCCAGTCCCCTAAACACACCATGAGGCTTTTGCAGGAGCTTAGATTAGGAAATACAGGTGTAGCCTCCTCTCACATCTTCACAGGGAGGAGCTAATACGCGAGGAAGAGACTCGAGTTAGGGGAACGCTTTAGCATGAAAGCACCAACAGTCGACTAAAAAAAAACAACACTCACAGACTCCTCCTCCTGATAATTATTAGACAGATTTTCCTAGAGCGCTGAAACCCTGTGGCTTAAATAACACTGTCACACTGTGACGACATGCAACATAAACAATCAATCAGGGGATACACGGCCTCTCCTACGGGTTATTAACATATGACAAGTATATGTACAATTTATACATCCATAAAAACAGCATTAATGACAGCATACTGCATGTATAAAAGAGTCATACAAAGTGTTGTATGATAAATAAAAACAACATTTCACTGCTAGAAGCTAAATTATTGTCTAAAAATGAGTGATTAGCAATATAATTTTTTAAAAAAAAGGTATCATCTAATCTATAATAAATGGAGAAACGTCCATCCATCTCGTGCTAAAAGCTTAAAGAAGAGGAGCCGATGCATAGAAACATATAATAAAATATATCCAGTACAGGCTGATGTGGACCGTCGCTGCTTGCTGGACGCCTAGTAAACTCCAGGGCTGTTACGGATCCCACAACAGAGCACCATGGTGAAGATCATCTCAAAGATCTGAAAGGGACAAAGCAAAGAAAAATTGTTATGATGCCTGATAAAACCAGGAGTTTCAGGTAAATGCTGCCAATGTGTGACGCTCACCATGATGACAGCAACCACCAGCGCGGCCAGACCGATGAGGTAGAGCTTCTCCGAGAACAGCTCGATCAGTTTATCATGGCAGCTCTACAGGAGACAGAAGCAGGCATGAGGACGCTGACCTGTGATGGATGAGTTTGTACCGCTCACGATGCAGACACACTGGAATGGATTACATGTAACTGAGAGCCGGGTCTGCTGTCAAAACACGGTGCTGAATATCTGCTAAGTCTGACCGCACATTTGGGAATAATTAATTATGCAATAGGGCAACTGATAGCAACATAAATACTAGCTACAAATCTAAAAGGATAAAGGTTTTTGTCGAAGGCAAGTACTTAGGATGAGTACTGTGGTTAAGCACCGTGCTGCTGCAGCTGTGCATCTCTTGCAGTTCAAAGTGTTAGATACACATTTATTTTGGAAAATCGTGACAGTGTAGAGGTTAACCTTTTTCAGGACTTTCATGTTTCCATATGTAGAAGGTGTTTCGGGGTCCATTGGACCCCAAAAAAGAATATGTGCAAAATATTTGTTGGTATTCATTGTAGACTTTAATACTGTGTTAAATAAACTTTCTGAGAAGTTGACGTATTTTTGGTTCCAAATGCATGACAAATGTCCCTCTTTTTATATTTAAAAAAATCGTCAAAAAAACCAACAAAAAAACAATACCTGTCACCTAAACCAAAAGGCCTGGGGTCCTAAAGACCCCAAAAGTCCTGAATAGGGTTAAATATGAGTGGTGGTCAAAATTGCCAATTTCAATTTTAATAAATAACACTTAATGAACAACACTAACAATGGGACAAAACAGCAAATTAATCCAGAATTGCATCTCGGTCGTATTTACCAACACGAAAACTGAACTTAAAGGACCTGTGTGTTGGATTTAGTGGCATCTAGCAGTGATGTTGCTGGTTATGACAAAATCAATATCCCTCTTTCACCCTTGCTGAGGAAAATATTTATATTCAACATAAAAATGTGAAAGGCCCGCTTGGATATTTACATGGCGAGCTCAATGGAAGAGGCAAGAGGGTCCAGGTGTAGCCCTCAGACCTCCCTTGTCAGGCCTCTGTCAGATAGGTATTATCGCCCCCTGCTGGTCAGAGTATGTCCATTTTAATATGTGTTAGAAATATAAAAAACTAATTAATACTATTAAAATATTGTTTTCTATCATTGATATATTCATATGTATGAGTGATTTATCAGTCATACATATGAATATACAAGCGATAATTATGATCTCTGAAGTTCCAGTTTTTGTAAATTCCCAGATGGGGGATCAATATGGTTTATCTTATCCTTTGTAAAACATGCGTAAAATCAGATTTCAAAAAATGCAAATTCTAGTGAAGTTAAGTAACATTACTCCACTTTTTTTTTTTAGTTATTTACATGTGTAGCCACTTCATATATAAGAAGATTCAGCTACAGAACTTATTATCATAATTGATTTTCACCTCAGATTTGTTCAGAAACAGATTGTGGTGGATTACTGAGGTGAAATAAATGAAAGTTTAAGTAACCTTATGGACTTTGGCTCACAGAACAGGGGCCTCAGAAGGGGTTGGCTCCATTTCAGAGGAGAATGAGCTCCTTCGTAGATAGAGAGATAGATAAAGAGCTCATTTTAAACTAGTGAAAACACAGTGATTCCCAGTTACAGGTGATTACACACTAGTGAAAACATAATTACAAATACTATATTCCATTTTGTCTCTCTGTGTAGCCCTGTGATAGACTGGTGACCTGTCCAGGGTGTCACCTGCCTTCACCCTGAGTCGGCTGGGATAGACTCCAGCCCCCCATGATCCTAGTGAGGATTAAGTGGTGTATAGATGATGGATGGATATTCCATTTTTGCAGACACATCCTCCTAAATCCTACACACTGGTCCTTTAAGTAAAGATTATCATAAAAATAACACAATCTCTTAATAAAAAAAACAGCTGACATCAGTTTCCCTTTTGGCATCCACTCCTTTTCCCAACAGCACGGGTAAATCTGACTGTTTGTGTAATAATAATATGTTTAGATGCTGTAAGTGATCAAATAAAACTGCTTCTTAAAGGATAAAGACTGATGTCAAGTTCAAGTAGCAGTTTCATAAAACTGTAAATTTATATTTTTACCACTTTGTAAAGTTTCCACTGAAACACATTTTGGATGTCAGACAAAGCCAGTAAAAGTATTTCTTGTCAGGCATTGGGGCCAAAAACTAAATGGCCCACTCCTAAGTGTATATTATGATTTTTATGGAGAATTGAATGTACTTGAGATCTCAGGAAATCTTCTGCAGTCTTTTTAGGACACAAGGTGCCGGCGACTTGTTTGAAGAGAGGGGTGTCGTCTCCTTTACCACAGCAGTCGAGCTGGAGGCGAAACCAAAAGCAGCAAAGTTAGGTCTTTTAATCAGTAACACACAGACTCAAAATACATTTCCTTCCCTTATAATCACAAAACCAAACAGCTGGTCTTCTATCATCACACATCAGGGCCAAATGGAGTGCATTTTCTCATCATTACATACCGTGTTGTGGAAAACATCCAGCACCTTGATGGCACTGTCTTTACTGGGAGAGCCTGAGACGTCCACGGCCTTGATGTACGCTGAGTCATAGAAATTGATTAACTCTTTGGAGATCTGTGGATAATCAGGAAGTGGGTAAATTGCTTGAGATAAACAACAACAAACAGAAGAGGTTCACTGGAGCAGATGTGAAACATCAATGTGTCTTACAGTGTCCCTGTTCATGAAACCCCAGATTGCTGCAGCGACTTCACAGGCAAAGAGGATCACCAAGAAGAAGAAGAACTGCAGGAAAAAAATGAGAATATTTATTTCAACCTCAAAGGCTCCTAAAGATTAAAATAAATAAATCCATTTGTGTGGAAAGAGAGTTTCAGGGAGCAGAAGCTGCAAAGTCAAGAAGTGAGATACTCACCGCCCCCAGCAGACACTGAGACTCCTGAATGGCTCCGTAACATCCGAGAAAACCCACAAGCATCATCACAGCTCCAACAGCTATCAGTATGTAAACACCTGTAAACACGGAGAGAGTCGGAAACTGTCAATCAACAACTCTAAAAAATGCGGTTCGTCACGACAACATTGTGTCCTCGGCACCGCTAGGGGGCAGCAATGTCAGAGCTGTCAGTGATCCACACTCGGTAACAGACTTCCTGGATGTTTCTCCTGCTTTCTCAGTAAGATGACATGACAATATTAACATCCTGAAGATAAGAGCTCCCAGATCCTGTGTGAGAGAGGTGGAGGTGACTCCACACAGCTGCCAGGCAAGGAAATGCCTTCCAGACACCCCCAACCCCCACATACTCTCCCTGCACTGACCCCTGACCCAGAGCATTATTCTTCCCCAGGAAACAGTAGGCACCATGTGAACACACAGCATCCACCCACATATATATGAAAAAAATAGACTGAAAGTTCAATCCCCGTGTTTTTTCTTTAAAATTTTCTTTTTTTTGGCCATTAATCATGGCGATGACAAAAACACTACTTCCACTATTTATTTTATTTGGCAAACAGAAGTGTGCAACAGCCTCCAGTGAGTGGTCCGCTGCAGGAAAAGTCAATGAATGGCAATAAAGCTCCAGTTACAGCAGTGGCCTGGTGTTAGGTTTTCTGCAGCTTAAAGGGAAATGCACTGAAGAGTTTGAAAAATCACTAATGCACTCTCATTAAGAAAAATACAAGTATCAAAAGTAGTCACCATGCTGAATCATCACTTTCAGAGTTATTAGTCAGAGTATTCAATGATTAGTCTACTAATGTGTGATAATATGGAAGATGTTCAAGCTGGTCGATGTGGCTTTAAAATGTAAACAATACTAATGATTAGTAATTGAGCAGACCAGCAAGTGATATACATTTGGAATAAAAATGTAAAACATTTGTATCAATATTATTACAACCTCCAACAGACTACTGTTGAAATGCCTTTGTTTATTTATGCTTTACATTTGTTTAATTAAAATAAACTTTTCTACATGTATCCTTCAGTGTTGAAGGGTGATTACTTGTGACGTGTAACCTCATCTGACAAAAAATAAGACAAGAAAAAACAGAGAGAGCCAGCCAAAGAGCCAAAACACAGCTTTTTTTGGTTATTTTTTTGGCCTTTTTTGCCTTTATTTTAGAGTGCAGTTGAGAGAGAGACAGGAAAGTGGGGGAGAAGAAGAATGGGGAAGGACCTGCGGAAAAGGGCCATGAGCAGGATTCAAACTCATGACCTCCACGTCAGGGACTACGGCCCCTGTACATGGAACGCCAGCTCAACCAGATGAGCTATAGCGACGCCCCACAATGCATTTTTAAAAATCAGAAATCATTTTAAAAATATACCAATAATCAGAAAAATGCTTCATATCAGATCTGATAATCAGCCAGGCCAATAATCAGTTGACTCCTGACGGTTATTGTAGGCACTAAAATCTGAAGTAATATATGTATATTTTATAAACTCAGAATTGGTATTGTACAAATGTATTGATTTTTTTGCAAAGCAACTTCAAGAATTTTTACTGCACAGTATTTCATTTCACTTCACATGGGACTCAAGAGGTGCAGAACTATAAAGTAGCATAAAATACTGCAGTGTAAGGTTTGTACGTCAGTAGATGGACTTAGTTACTTTCCAGCACATTTATGTTTTTGAAAAATGTTGTTTGAATGTGCGTATCCTGTATAAGTAGGTTAAAAAACACTAATTCCTCTTATCGGGTCTTTGTTTTCATCAGAGGGATCACAGGAAGGGCTGCTGCAGCAGAGATTAGAGGCTGTGTGGCTGCGCTTGAACAGTTATAGTGAATAGAAATGATCTGCATAAATGAAACGCTTGAAGGAGAGTTTGATGAATTCCGTCCATCCACACTTTAACTACAACCCTAAACTGTAACACCTAAACTAAGTGAAAACCTGCATTTGTTTTGTACTTACAGTTAAAACATTTCAAAGGCATGCATCAAACTTTACATCAGCGCGACAGCCAATACTAACATTTCAGAACAGATTTTTAAATATTACCAAAACACATGATACATATATGACATGCAATGAATTATTATATATATTAAACCAGTAGTTCATCACGTTTCAGATGTAATCCGTTAGCAGCTGAGATTTCTGCAGTAATTTTTTTCCATGGAGGTTCCAAGAGGTCAAACTATTTCACCAAGCAGTGAAGATTAGGCCAGTGAAAAGAAAACCAAAAATAAAGTGCTTTACGATAAAATAAATGCCAAATTAGACAAATAGTGAAAACAGATGATTCAAACAAATAAATAAGATCCTAAACAAGATAAAACTGTCCACAGTAGTCAAGTTAAGTATTTTTATACCGCACATTTAAAACATTTGTTGCGTCATAGCCCCTTCCAGCAAAAAAGATTGTAACTGGCATTAAGAAAGTCACCTAACAAGTCTTAGTATTAGAGCTGAGACCCTATCGTGTTATTTACAGTGTGATCTGAGTAATTCACATATTTGGGTTTGAACCCTACAAAAATGATATCAATACTACATCAGCTGATAATACATATTAGAACTAACAACTGTCATATTGTAGTTGTTGGAGAATAATGATGGAGAATAACTTAACTAATGTAAAAATATAGCTAAGGTCTTATAGAAACATAAAACTACTGATTGTAACTATTATAAACATCAAGGCTGGATGATAGAGCATAATTATTTATTGATATTAACCTAAAGAGTTTAGAGCTAAAGATTTGACCTTAATAAAATATGCATGAAATATTTATACACAAATGTGTGTCACAGCTCTTTCTTTCTTACCTCATTAATCACCATAACCTTCAGAGGGAGGCCGACTCTGAGGCTGGGAACTACAGGACGAAGCTGAATAACAGCATGTAACAAAGTGTGGTGGTACTTTCACTTCAGTAAAATACACCAATACGTCATCTGCCGTTGCTTTTAGAGAGACAGTCTGGGAACAGTCTTTTTCTGGGTTTTCTATTCCTGCACACACACGCAAACAAAGCCCACAGAGCCTCTGACAGAGGAGTCTGAAAGAGAAGGACAGTAGGAGACTCTGACTGTGCTGCTTCTGCCGCCCTCCAACACCTCACACTGTACCTCATTTATCACGCACAGCCATTCCCCATCCTTACATCTACACCCTCCCTGTCTGCGCTCAACACCTCCCCCTTTCTCTTTCAGGACTTGGGTGTTTTTGTTGTACTGAGAAACGGCTACCAGGGCCAGTAACCCGGCAATGCGGCAAAGCAGACATTATTTCCACTGCCTACCATTACTATGACAACACCCTTTGAGGTTTGAAGGCTATTGAGACTTTAAGGGAGACAGGCAATTTTATACCCCCGGGGAAGTTCATTTATTTCTTGTCTGCCAGTGTAATCTCCAGAGGGGGGGAAAAAAAGGAGGTGAAGACCAGCTAAAAGCCCCACTTGCACTTTTCCCTTTGCTTCTCATCCAGTATTTAGAAAGAAAAATGGCAGGAGCGGTGACGCCATGTCCGCGCTGTCGGAGCTTCACACCGGTAAACTTGGATGAACCCAGTCATACTGTACGCCGGTGGATCAACGCTGAGATGAGAATTAATCATTAAAAAGGCCCCACGGAAAAACATTTCCTCGGAAAGACGGTGGAACAAAAGGGGTCAGAGAAGTATGCAGTGGATCTCTGACTGTCTCCCTGCAGTGTGGTAATGTTACACAATATGCTGTGACCAACCTGACGGTAGCCTCGAAATTATTCAGGAACAACTCAAGCGGCACTAGTTTGGAGGAATAGTTTGAGGAACATTTTGAGTTAAAAAAAAATCTATCTGGCCAGTAAATGTGAAGCTGGTGCTGGGAGACAGTTGGCTAAGTCCAGTGGTGGAATGTAAATATATATATTTACACAAGCACTGGACTTAGAATTTGAACTGCTTGCACTTTATTTGAGTCTTTTCATTACATACCACTTTCTACTTTCGACTCCACAACAGCTCAGAGGGAAAAATTGCACGTTTTACTTCACAACAATTAAAACTTCTGAGTTTAAATACATATATTTACCCAACAGTTTGCACAGTACAACTGTCATGTTCAGTTCATTAATCAGTTAGTGAAATGGCAGAAAATTTTAAAAATCATTTACCAGCAACTCATAGTATTTTCAGAATGTTTACTGAATAAATCACTTGATTAATTGAGAAAACAATCAGAAAATTCCATAATAAAAATAATCATTACTTGTAGTTTATAGTTTAAAATGAGCTTCATCTTAACTAACTCCGACAGTAAAATTCTGCTTTTACATTCATACGTGATATATAACAGTATAACAGTCACAGGGTCTACATTGAGTACTTTTACTTCCAATACTCTGATACTTTCATTTTTTTCCTAATAGTAGTTTTACAGTATGATACCAGTACTTAAGATTGGGATGTGACTACTTCCTTCACCACTGGCCCAAATAAAGTCTAGAAACAGATGGAAGCAGTCAGTAGGTTACAAAAACCACCAACCAGCACCTCTAAAGCTCAATAATTAACTTGTGATGTGATTTAGTTTGTCTCACTGTACAAAACACTCAACAGTTTGTGAGCTTTGGAGGTATTAAGGGGCAAAGAAAGCATTTTATTTGCTGTTTACTATTAAGATTTATTTAAATTTTAAGTGATCAGAGAAGTTTAAAGAGGAACTGTCTTTTTGGTAGAACTGCTGTAAATTCACACACAGCTGAAATGTGGCAGGGGAAAAAAAAAGATGTAAATGATGGTGTAATATTTAAAAATGTGTTGTTTCTTAGAAGTTTCTCCTATGTCTTTATGTGAAAAATACACCTGAATAGATTCCAGATAAAGCGAGTGGAGTTAGAAAAATAAAGATTCATCAGTACTGGCTATTAAAAGTATGAAGCTGGAGATAGCAACCTGTTAGCTTAGCATAAAGGCAATCAAACTTTCAGGACCTTTACAGTATGTATGTGTTAACTGGTGAGTTTCAAAGGTGGTTGTACACAACTTTTGTTAATTTTGGACCGAGCCAGGCTAACCCTTTCCTCCCTTTTAAAGTCTTAATGCTAAGCTAAGCTAAGCATCTCCTGGCTACATTTTCAATTTCAAACTTACAAACATGAGAGTGATATCAATCGTCTCATGTAAGCAAGAACATCTATAATCGCATGTTCCAGAAACGTTGAACTACATATTACACTGTGAGGAGCTGCAGCACCGACCAGACTGCTGACAAACTGCCACCAATAATGATTTCAGGCACTGCTGCAGAGGTAGGAGCATGTGTATTTTCAGTCTTACATAAATACCACTTTGGTGAGCCAGCACGCTAAAAACATCCACTCGAAACTCTAATTTGAGGGATAATGTGCAGATGTACAAGCTTATTTGAATTATGCAAGGGCGTATGTTCAAGGGAGCAGAAAAAGAAAAAAAAGAAACAATCCCTTGATCTCGCCTGGGTGGGCCTCTCATGCCGCCCTGCCTTTAAAATCACGAGTGCGCCCTTCCTCTATAAAAAGCATGGGTTCGCCTTCGCTCTGTATACTTACTGAGGAGTAAGTATGGGAGAGCAGCAGAAGCCCAAATGTAAATTAATGGGCTCACTAGAGTTCACCACCACAACAAACCAAGATGATGGACCTTTGAAATGTTTAAATCATATCATGCATTGTAGGTTTTCGGGCCAATCTGTGGACGGCTCGGGGCACATGATGATAACTTATGATTTCGGTTCATGTCCTGGGCACAACCTGGGACACACAAGCCCGCTTCTGTGATTTGGATGAAACTACGGGAGCTTTGCGAAGCTACACAGAGACCACGTTGCACCGCATTAGTGCAGAAACTCCAGACAATTCCTGAGGATCAAACACTTTGAAGTGTGAGCGACAGAAGGCACATGACGGCTTTATTTGTGCTCACAGACCGAGCCCACATGTGTCTCAACATCTGGCTGAAACATCTGGACTCTCTTCTCAAAGAACTCTCAAAGCAGGGATTTGTTGTAATAAACATGTAGATCTAATTTAGAGATCATCTCCTACTGCACAGGTCATCACTGAGAGAACGACAGCAGAGTAACAACAGCGAGGTGTCGACTCTGACCGTGCGTCTCTTAAGTCATATTGCGGACTTGCGCAGGTCCTGTTTCCTGGTCTTTTGTTAGAGGGCATGGTGCACCTACTATTTCTGGACATCACTCACAGCTGAGTGTGAAAGACGGATGAAATAGTAAACTTTCATTCCTGTGTTAACAGGGAACTTTTCAACATGTGGACAGTGAGGAATGAGGACAGAAACACCACAAAGTAAGACAGTAGTCTTTCAAGGAAGGAAAAAGTTGGGACACAAGACAACCACTGAGCAAGCAGTTATAAAAGTAGTCTTAAAATAAATGCCTATTTTGTGAAGACTATAATCCATCTCTGTTGAAACTGTGACAGAGATGAGGTATTTGACATTTATGGTATTTTTTGAGTCCATTCGTTGTCAGACTTTGTTATATTATAGGATGCTGTGCATACTAACAAGAGGCCACTACAGTTGGTGGACGTTTAGCATTGAAGCACGAACATTCCAAGTTGCCCCACCTTTGAAATCTAGCGACACAATCATGACAATATTCTACCTATTGTTGTCAAGAACTGCTTTACAAACTGAATGTATTAATAAAATGATGATGATGATGATGATGATGATTAGGAAGAAACTTTTGCTAAAAAAAATTGACGACCAACTCAAAACATTCAGATTTACATCAGTTCTGTGTGGAGAAACAATGATTTTTTTTTGTGTGTAATTCAAAAACTGGAGAGGCAGGTCTTGGTGTGTACTCACTGATGTAGAAGGTACCCGGTGCCTGGTGGCCTTCAAACTGAAGTATGAGGAGGTTGCTGGTTTGACTGTCATGGCGAAGCCACAGGGCCACTCCTAAGATCACACCTCCAGCCAGCTGTCCCAAAGAGAAAGAAGGTTTTAATTATTCTCTCTTGTGCGTACTTTGATGAAACCTGTAGGAAGATCAGAGCCACTTACGTGTCTGAAATGTTAGCGTGAATATTAAAACAAGCCTGAAGTCATCAATTTTTAAGACTTTTTAAAAAGGCCCATCAAGGGTTTTTTTTTTTTTTTTAAAATCTAACAGTAACAGAGAATAACGACATCTGTGACATCTGGCACAACACAAAGCCCGACTTTCCTAAGATCAAATCATTGTCCAGACCTTCCTGCTGATCTCTCTCTGTCTCCCTGTCTAGCTGTGGTGTGAGGCAATGACCTGTCTGCTGTCTTTTGGGATAACAGAGGACATCCTGACACCTTGGTGACCTGCGGCACAGACCGTGCCCTCACGACATTGTTCAGCGCTAACTCATCAACTTTGTTATTCTTCTGATTTCTATTCTAGTCTATTTCTGAGTAAGAAGAAATACCCTGACGAGTGTTATCACGTAGAAGCTGATAAAGCATAAGCATCAAATGTAGTTGCAGGTTATTGTTCACATGCCACTTTCAGTGTTTATATCAAGATATCAGCTCTTTTTTTTCTGCCCTGGCTGCTCTCCATTGTTCTCAAAGAAACAGGAAACCGAATCCTCGACGTGAAAAATAGCAAAATGAGGAAGAGAGGACTCAGAGTTTTCACAATGACAGGCGCAGCAGCAAAACCAACAGAGGAAACATTCAATCAAAAGCGGCGTGTCCAGGATATGGTGACTATGTGCTCATCTAAAAAAAGACGGCAGATCTGTACGGACAAATCACATGGAAATTCACAAACAAGTGATCAATTCTGCAAGGCCAAGCAGCGACCACACAAAGTGAATGACACATGTGCAGGAAGTCTGAGGGGATGTAATGAAGCGTAGAAGCCATACAGCTCCATTAGGAGTCTGCCTAATGGCTCCTTTTACTGAAGTAACTTTCAGAAAACAAGACAGACTTGAGAGAAGTTCAGTTCACAGAGTGAATCACAATAAATTCATATCAATAAAGTGCATCATCAGAAGTGGTGAACGTTTGAGGTTCAAAGGCAACACATTCTACAGTCTGACCATGTAGAAACAAAGAAAGGAAAACAGCTTTACCCTCCCCCCCAAAAAAACTCTGTTCAATGTGTTTTTGGGTTCTTTTAAACAGCAAGGAATCATCCAGCAGCAACCAGGAACAAATCAGAGCTTTCCTGTCTGGAGTTAATTCAGTGAAATGCTGGATCTGAAGCAGAATTAATCTACAGAAGACTTAAAAAAGTACAGTCCCAGTGAGAAGCTGAGGAAGCCCACCCAGCCACCTTGCACTGGTGCTCGGCCAAGCTGAAAGTAAGTGTTGATGAAGGGAAAGAGCATTTTGAAACTCCTGCCTGACCAAGGTTTTGTGCGCCTTGCCTGTGTGCGTCTTTCTCTCAGACAGATCAGCATGATTAATACAGCAGAGCAGGGCGGGAAACGACTCCAGGGTTAGATCATTTATGAACTTTAAGCAACACAGATGTGTGAATGCGCAGCTGTTAGTCAGGAAAAAAAAGGAAAGGAGGAAAAAGGCACAGATCCAACTTAAGAGTAAAACGTGTTCAACTCACCCAGAAAATAAAATTAAAGAAGAATAACATATATTTAATGCATTTCGTGCAGCCCGCAACAGCCATGTTCTTGTCGGCTCGTCCTTTTTCTTTTTGCGCAAATCAGTCTGTGTGAGAGCAGTAAAAACCTCCTGGGATCACAGAGGACGACTCAGTTCATTCAGCCAGTTGGGGTATAAGCGTCTATACAGCAAACTCCTCCTTTATAATCAAGAGTGAAAACCGAGACGGAGAACTGCCCACCAGCAGAGGAGGAGAGGGAACAACAAGCTCCCCATCTACAAGAAACACTTCACCTCCGCTGATTTTAGAATGTATTTGGATAAGCGGAAATGTAGGAAACATCATGACCAAGATAGAAAGAGCGAGTCTCCATTTGCCTAATAATCATCTTTAAACATCAAAAAACGCAGTAGGCAACACTAAATATAGTCATTTTGTTAAGTATGTCAGCCTATTTCATGAAAAATGTGTAAAATAAGCAGCAAACCAGAAATCCATCATCCTAGATCCTGATAAAAAACACCATAACCTACACGTTCTTTACATCACGAACCTGCGATTGTTACCACACATAATTGTCACACACGACACCTAAAATGTACCAGACAATAAAACTTCTTTGCTGCGACCAACTGCGCCCTCTGCCGACACATCAAACGCAGGTAGAGGCCTCGTTGGCTAATTATTACCCACGATCGAGTGCAGCACGCACGGAGTTGCGCACACATTAAACTCTCTCTCAGCTCTTTGTGTGTTGAAAACATCTTCGTGTCACACCTGTAGCTCGTCAACAATCCAGACCGCAGCCAGGACTTGTTACATCCGTGAATCATTGACTCATGAAGCTGTAAGAATTTGATCACGGTGCTTTTGATGTGATGGGCGGATCTGCGCGTTCATGTCTCCAGGGTCGCACCTTCTCCAGCCAGCTGTGCGTAAAGATGATGAGCCCCCCTCCTCCTCCCCGACTCCTCCAGCTGTGCCATAAACCTCCGAGCGAAACAGAGTGACAGAGACAGAGAAGAAATTATTAGGCAGCTAATTTCAACAGTTTTAATTTGGGGGGTTTGACAGCGTGTTTTTTAACAAATGCGAGGTCCTCCACTGGGCATGCTCCATCTGATCTGAGAGGAGCGCTGGGCTGAATAACAGGCAGTTTGGGCGTTTTTTGTGAGGAGGTTTTGTCGCCCTCTCATCTCTGATTTTTTTTTTCTTTATTTGCTGATAATAACAGCACCAGGAAGAAGATCTGTCCTCCCTTCAGGCAGACTAGGGATGTGTTCTTCTCAGCTGTGCGTGCTTGACGGGGGAAAGTGTCTGTGCTGAGACAAAGAGCTGCTGTTTGGCGGCGGCGTGTCGTTGAGCGCAGAGAGGGAGAGCTGAGTGTGAAGGAGGTGAGTCTGTAGGCAGCAGCAGCAGAAGGACTGAGCCGCCAAGAGTCTCCATCAGAAAAGCTGCCGGCCAGGCGCTGTCCGCTCAGCACCACCGCAGTCACCTTGCTGTGAAAGTCATAAACCTGCTCAGGACTGATCTGATCAATTTGCGCAACCTGGTGAGGCCAATGAGCCGGATTTATTCTGCTGCCGGGGGGGAAACTGCCAGCGTTTGTGTCCTTTTTATCTCGACATCTTGGATTTACCGACTATGTGACGTCCATTCTTAATGTGATGCCATTGGCTGCAATCATTTTGGATTTCGAGTCTATACCTTCCAGCGAGTCCGGCAGCTGTAAGACTTTACGATCCTCGCAGTTCTGCGTGGCAGGTGTTCTTTGAAAATACAGGGTTTTTAGAGGGAGGGGTAGCCTGATGCGCGTCCAACACTCCTGATTTCTTTCACACTTGGTGAGAAACGACAGGTTGCTTTGCGCGCCGCTTCCCTTATGTAATTGTTTCCGTCGGTGTGATCACTTGTGTGCATGGCTGCACGCTGCACCTAGACTTACCTTTGCGATGAAGGGAACTTATTGGAGAAATGCCTAAGGGACGCAATGGGCCTGAGCGACGACAAGGATCGCATTGTGATAAACGTGGGAGGGATCAGACATCAGACATACCGCAGCACCCTGCGCACTCTACCTGGCACTCGCTTGTCCTGGCTGGCCGAGCCTGATGCACCCAACCACTTTGACTATGATGCCAAGATCGAGGAATTTTTCTTCGACCGCCACCCTGGCGTTTTTGCACATATCCTTAATTATTACAGGACAGGTAAGCTGCACTGCCCGGCTGATGTCTGCGGGCCGCTCTATGAGGAGGAACTGGCCTTCTGGGGCATTGATGAGACAGACGTGGAGCCATGCTGCTGGATGACCTATCGCCAGCACCGGGAGGCTGAGGAGGCTCTTGATAGTTTCGGCGGGGGGGGCCTGTTAGACCTGGGGAACGATGATCAGGAGCCTGAGCAGGAGCACGCTGAGGATGATGTGGATGAGATGACAAGGAGGCTGGCACAGGGAGACTCTCCTGATACCAGGAGTGGAAGCCTGTGGAGCCGGTGGCAGAAGCGTGTGTGGGCTCTGTTTGAGGACCCTTACTCCTCTAAATATGCAAGGGTGAGTGTCTTTTGTTTCTTCTCTTTTACTTACTGGACTCTAAAGACCTAATGAATGAGCACATTGAGTCATAAATACTCTGAAATGTTCGATCCACAAAGTCAAAGCTGCATGGATGAAAGAAAGATGGATGGGTCTGGGAGGTACAGAAAGGCTTTTGATGACCTTGAAATTGCACTCCCAGGGGGTCTGCAAGGCAGGTCGATACGAGTGCACGAGGAAGGAGGAGGGGGAGAAAAATGCAGCAGCCTCATGTGTAAAAAACGTTTACATGCAAATCATTACTGCCACCTTCCTCTGTCAGAGGGTAAAGATTCTCACAGGTCTTTGGATTGGACACAAGGATCCCTGAGCAGGCTGGTTAAATAGGTCAGCTACACATTAGGAAACCAGATCTTTGGCACCACCAGAAGTATTGTGGCAGACGTCCAGACGAAAAATTAGGTTGCTGCTGGAGGTGACATTTTTTTTGTTGGTCTTTGTTGTGGGCAGTTTTCCATCTGGGCCCAATGCCTCTCATTGGTGACGATGACATAACTTTTACACCTTGTGATTTTTTAGTTTGACCACTGACCCCTACAAAGACCGCTGTGCTGCACGCTGCTTTAACAGCTGTAGCAGCCTGATTGCTGTAATTAGCCATTAGGTCCCATCCGGCAGGAGTAAAGTGTATTGACATGTTCCCACTCTGAGAGCAAGCATTAAGGAAAGCAGCGTAACCCCTCTCACACACTCCCAAATCGCACCTCTTTTTTTTTAATGAAGGAAGAAATTCCCCAATCGGAAAACTCAGATGTGGCCTACATTTCACAGAGCGTGACAAAAGCAGAGCAATGATTGACAGAACTCCACCAAGACTGGCAAGAAGATTAATTAGAAGTGAGCGTCAGAGTTAATTACAGACTCTATTCACAGTGGATACATCAGTGGAAAACCCTTGTCAATGCAGATCACTGTAGGCCGGTGGTTTGTCGGTCAACGGTGAGAATTAGCCAATAAGAAGCAAACAATTCGCCCGTCACCCTCCCTCTAGGGCCACACTGTTCCCAACTGTCACAAAGACACATAATTTAGGAGGTGGTCTGATAAGATGCAGCGTTTGTTTAACAGTGTGAAGGGTGGGATGTTGAGAGGGCTCAGCCAGTCTGTGTGTTAGGAGGCATCAGTGGGGAAAGTGGCTTATAAGAATGAGGCTTTGGCAGTGATGATAAAGTTTGGTTTTTATCTTTCTTGACAGTGTCAGATGCTTAAAAGGATTTATTGTCTGGATTCATCAAATAATAAGTAAAAAAAAAAAAATGGTGATAAATGTCCATCTGAAGTTCCTGATTGTTTTGTCTGATTAACAATCCAAAAACTTCCCCAAAGAAATTCAGTTTACAATCGTGGAAAACTAAGAAAACTAGCAGCTGGTGGTGTTACTCCAATCTGTGTTGTTTGCTGAGGTCAGTGTTTGCAGTGTGGCTGAGTTGGATTGTATTATTGTCTAAGGAGTACTTGTTATTTTGTACAGTACATACTGTAGAGGGGGTGGACAAAACAACAATATTATGCAATCCGATAAAGCACCACCACTTAATAATGCCTGAAAACTGCCACAAAGTCCATGTTACACCATATCAACAAAAGCTGAATATTATTAGCCTGACAAATGTATATTTTTACATAATTTTGTATTTAATTGCGTCTTCTGTTCACATTCTATTTAAACGTTTAAAAGATGGAAAATTTATACAGAGTTTGAACACGAAGCCATTTATGCTGTTTGCTATGTTTGAGTGTGTGAACTGCACTGATGCAGTTTTAAATAATGAAGTTTGAACTCTAAGACCTGTGATGCTGTCTCTGAACAAAGACAGTGGCCCTGCTGACAGGTCCGTGCTCTGGAGTAAACACATACTTTATCCCTGGGCCATCATTTTAAGATGGACGGGAGGCAGACATTCATGAGCGCCAGCTATTTCCTCGGCACAATGCAATGAATTGCCATTGATGAGATGTTATGATGAGGGCCTGTTTTCCGTTTCGTGCTGCATGCCTCCCTTAGTGACACACCGTGAACGGACTTGACTGACAAGGACGCAGTGTTTCTCTTGCCCAGTGGGACACCTAGAAGACTTCAAGCCCAGACCTGCCCATGTCCAACTTACATCCTCCCTGATGTCATTCATTACTCCTCCCTGCTGCTTAACAGTTCTGTGCATTAGTTTGAGATGTACTACACAGCCTCACTTAAAGACATATCCATGCATGAACGAACTGCTATCGATTCAACGTTCACAATTTATAGGATGATTAAGTAGCTGTTCGCTCTTCCTGTCCAATCTTCTGTCCACCGTCTCTGATCTACTGCCTTCAGATTTACATTGAAGATAAAGCGTTTCTTTTTATTCTCTCCCCTGAAACTACAGCAAAGGGCATAAGCGGTAACACATAGTGTAAGCCAGTACAGTGAGATGAGAGGAAGACAACAAGAAGACAGGCAATACCCAGGGGAGAATACTGTATCTGTTACACCCATGTAGTATGCATCAGAAATAACAGAACCTAAATGTGATGAAATGTGATCATCTAATCAATACACAACGTTGCCTAAAGTACTCTTCTGCCATTAAGGGAAATATAGGTTTCTCATGAGAGTCGCTCCTCTGCCCAGCGAGCCTCTAAGCTCACTGATTCCCTAGAGTTGATCATCTGGACAGTTATGACCTTGTGTAGGGAAGGCCTACAGTAGCAACGGTGCTGAAAGGAAGAGCCCCAGCTAAATTTAGTCAAGGGGGTTGACACTAATGTCCCATCTGCTGCTGCTGCTGCTGCCGGCTCTTGACAATTCTACATGTAGCGTACCCTTGAAAATACCATGACCTTGAGACACAGCAGAGGGAAGAGAAGGAGGAACAGCAAGCTTGCATTGATTGTCCCTTTCATGATCACTCTTCAGAGTGGAGACACATAGGGAGCAGAGAGAAACGGGGCTGGGCTGTCAATGCCACTGTCACCGTCAAACCAGGTGCCATTGTCTGAGAAAATAGATTGAATTGCATTGTGTCTTGCTAAGAATGGCTGCAAGGCCATCAAGCTTGATTACTCTGCATGTATTACTGTGCTCATTCTCCTCTCCGTCCTTTTCCTCTCTCTCCTCCTATTTCTTTGTCTGCACCTTGTACATCTCCTGATCAGTGGGTGGCTCTGGCCTCGCTGTTCTTTATTCTGGTGTCCATCACCACCTTCTGTCTGGAGACTCACGAGGCCTTCAACCCCATCATCAACCGCACTGAGGTGGAGCTGGTGGACAATGTCACAGTGGAGAGCACCTACCAGGAGACCGAGACTGCGGCCTACCTCACCTACATCGAAGGCGTCTGTGTGGTGTGGTTCACGTTTGAATTTCTAATGCGAATAACTTTCTGCCCAAATAAGTTTGATTTCATTCGGAACGCCCTGAACATCATCGACTTTGTGGCCATCCTGCCCTTCTACCTGGAGGTGGGCCTCAGCGGGCTCTCTTCCAAGGCAGCTAAGGACGTGCTGGGTTTCCTGAGAGTGGTTCGCTTTGTGCGGATCCTGCGTATCTTCAAGCTGACCCGTCACTTTGTGGGGCTGAGGGTGCTGGGCCACACGCTGAGGGCCAGCACCAACGAGTTCCTGCTCCTCATCATCTTCCTTGCTCTTGGTGTCCTTATCTTTGCTACTATGATCTACTACGCTGAACGGATTGGCGCTAACCCCAACGACCCACGAGCCAGCGAGCACACGCACTTCAAGAACATCCCGATTGGATTCTGGTGGGCGGTGGTGACCATGACGACCCTCGGCTATGGAGACATGTACCCTCAGACGACCTCCGGTATGCTGGTTGGAGCTCTGTGCGCCCTGGCAGGTGTGCTGACCATCGCCATGCCCGTCCCTGTGATTGTCAACAACTTTGGAATGTATTACTCCCTGGCCATGGCAAAACAGAAACTACCAAAGAAAAAAAATAGGCATATCCCTCGGGCACCCCAACCAGGTTCTCCTAACTTCTGTAAGGCAAGCATCACATCTCAGCATCCGAGCCCCATTGCCCATGACGACGTTTTCGAGATAAAATTTCAAGGTAAGAAACACACACGCCGCAATAAACTGTTACCTCATTACTTTGGTGTCCTGAAGCAACATGTCACTATTCAGCTGTCTCACTGTTTGTCTGCTCCCACACTTCAATCAGCTGCTGATTCAGGCACAAAATTAAACAAATGAGTTTCCCATTGCAAACAATCAATAAAATATGTAATGAAAAGCACATTTGACTCCGGATAGGAAAGTCGAGAGATTGAGGCAGACCGTGAGTAATCTTGCTATTGATTTTGCACTTCTTAATGCAGTGATTCACTCCTCCTCTCTCTCTTAAGACTAACTGAGAGTATGTATTTGCAATGTTAAGAACAATGTAAGTAGATGTTGGAGTCACCTGATGCCCCTCCAGTGCAAAGATATATTGACCTTTGATCCGGTTTGTGCTCAAACACACATAAAACAACAGAGCTTCAAACGGAGCATCCACAAAGGAGTACAAGGTAAACATTAGACAGCAGCTTTTCAGCTAGTACTACTGTGCAAGTTAATCCCTATGCGCATTAATGTGTATAGTAGGATATATTAAAAAATGTAGTGCTTAAGTAAAAAGAAAAAAAAAAAAGCTGGTATATGAATCCAGATTTCTTTGGTTTTGTTTTCTTTATGGTTTTCTTTTAAGATTCCAAGCTTAACGGTGAGGCAGCTAACGCAGCTCTGGCCAATGAAGATTGCCCTCACATAGACCAGGCCATATCTCCGGAGGAAATCTTCAGCCCCAGCGAGAGAGAGCGGCCCTGCTTCCTGGTCACGACTGCTGAACGCCCCAACCACACAGGGGGCAGAGTGAGGAGGGGTACGTACAGTAACAGCCAATCACAGGCCCCCCTGAGACACTGACACCCTGTAGACCGTAGACAGGACACGCTCCCTTTTGCCTCTTTGCTGAGCGTTACACCTCAGTTTTTCACAGGCACACACACTAGCGCACACACACACACACACACACATGCACAAACATACACGTTAACACACAACGACAAACCTCATATTACAACTTTCACACACTTTCACAGCAGCTGCTTCTCCTCAATCATCCTGCTGGGAATTGTATATATATATTTTCCAACTCACAGAAAAAACACATTGTTAAGGCCAAGCACAATCACCACAAATGTCGAGAATAATTGTCCACATCTACATAATATATTTTTTGATACCATGCATAATGTAATGCCCCTATTTATTTACCAGTGAGAAAGCTATTTTCGAGATTTATATGATCTAGATTGTGTTGTCTTACATGCCTAAGAAAGTATTTATGTGCTACGCGTGTACCATGTATGTATATGTGTTTTAATGATAAATACCATGCGGGATCCTGACTTATGAGTACATTTGCTCTTGACCATAACGGTGCATGAAATGTCTTGCTGATGGGTGCTATCAGTATGGTGAAGGAGCACAACACAAATGGAGGAAGCCTAACGTTGGATACTGTTCTTCAGATTTCAAGTCAAATTTTAATTTACTGATTTCTACTCCTTATGAAATGGGTTTAAATCCCCTATTTTTTAAAAACAATTTGATATTAATCTTCAAAACATTCCTCTAAGAAAGTCCTGTAAGTCTCCAGCTGTGTGCAGTAAACGGCCCACAGTGTGAAATTCTACCTGTAGCTGAAAATACATTCCCTGCCTGAGGTGCCTACCTTTCTGAGTCTTTTACAGTGTTATACTCCGAACCATTCCAGTACCACCCGGTGCATGCTGTTGTACTCCTGATGCACTCAATGCATGGAGAATAATAATCTGTCTCAAGTCTGTGTTGACCTGTTTCTTTGGAGACAAAAACAAGAAAGCAACAGGTGTAGTATTACCAGTGAGGAACACCAAAAACATTTTGTCATGGATTTAGTGCTGCAGTGTACTCAGAACGTTCTCTGTTTTTCAACTGAAGGTTATGAAAAGCCTTGGAGCCTTAACAGCATGTCTGGCATGAGCGGGGATGCCTCTGGAGTGTCCTCAGTGTCCGCCCTGCCCTGCAGCCCACCCTGTCTAATGCAGCACTCACATTCTCCCATCCCATCCATTATGTAGCATGGTTGAGTAGCAGACACAATGCCATTGGAAGGCCAGTCCACACTCCTCCTTCTTATCTTTCCTGTCAGATTTTGTTTTGACACTTGCCTTCGCTCCTGCATATATTTTTTTTTTCTTCATTTTTGTTTCTTTATTTCTCTGGAAAACTGTATCTTTACTGTGCTTATACTCAAGCTTCCCAAGTGTTCTCCTTGGGTGTGTCATCATATCCTAGACTAGAAAACATTGGCACATGCCACTCTGCATGGGTCACCTCAGTTGCAGACGAAGCACTGTTCTACTTCTACCACAGGCTAACCCCACTCTTTTCCTTGTGTTTACATCATTGCCTGTTGCTCTGTTGCTTTTGATCTCTCATACTCTTCTGCCAATAACTTTTATCCCATTTGCTTTTTACAATTTTGTGAAAGATTTTTTCATAAGATGTAACCCCTGCTAATAATATGCTGGACATTAACAATACAAGGCTTTTAAACATATCCAACAGCTGTTAAGAGAACTCCTCTTAAGTGCTTTGTACGTTGCAAAGTAGAGACGTTATCATTCTGAAAGTGCAATCCAGACAAGACTCAATGTTACCTGAGTGGCCATTAAAAAAAATACATATATTTGAACATGATGTTCATGATGTCCAATGCAATATGGAGATGATGACAATTCTTATGATACCAGTGATGAACACATCTAATGTTAACAGAACTAAAACTGTCTGTTCATTTGCATGAACTGCATGAGAAATTATGTTCAACAAGAAGCTAACTGTATCACAGTACCTGTAAGAAAAAAAAAAAAAAAAAGAAGAAGAACATTTTCTTTCAAAAGCTTCTAAAGCTTTGTCATTTTTATGCATTTTGAGACAGCTTTACAAGAGACTCAGTCATAGCAGAGATTTTTATGTAGCTGCCATTCTTTGCCTTTCCCCAAATTCATATATTTATTTTCTTGTATTTATTTGACTGGGGCCTCCGACTAAAATAGCGTGATTTAACTTGAACAATTTGTCATAAAGCCAACTGATGCTGTTATGAGCATAGATAGTTTTTATACAAATATATTTACTGGTAGTTTTTAAACAGTATCAATAGACTGCAGCAACTTCTATTACTGCTGTGCTGCTAAATTAAGGCAGGACTCATTAATTATGAAACAACGGTGCCTTCATACCTGGTGAGGCAAAGTAAAAGTGAGTAATAAATTGACATGATATTACGTAAGTGTTCCCAGTGTAGCATCATTACACTTTATACCATGCTCATAACAGTGTAACAAAAGCTTTATTTTACAAGGTGCACTTTGTTCCTTTTGCACCACCCTTAATCATGGTAGAAAAAAAAAAACCCTCTTGGTTATTGTTGATACACCACTGAACTCAGAGTAGGATTTAACCTTTAGAGGGATACATAGCACCAAGCAAAAAAAAAAAAAAGTACGAAAAAATGAATATACCGACATATTAGTCCCCATCTTTTTGTACAATAAAGCACAAAATATTACTAAAGGGGACCAGGCAACTACAGAGCCAAAATATATTAAGTTATGACCAACCAGAGATGTCACAATGACTTCTACAGCATGTATGTCTATTGATTTAAGACATCAATACTGTTACTGTTACATGTATTGATACTGTCCCAATAATTATGCACAAGTTTTTCAGGGCACTTTAACAAATTTTATGTTGACCAATCAGAAATGTTAATTTCTAGAAGAAGATATAGTGCAGTAATTATAGCAAACTCATCTAAGTTTTGTTTTTATTCTGAATGAGCAGAGTTTTACATTTTGAGTCATGTCTCTTGTGGTAATTAATGGACGTTATATATTTCAAAAAAAAAAAAAAAAAAAACTTGTGAAGATTTGATGTGAAGAGATGCAGGTGAATTATATGCTCATGCAATTCAAGTGAGGGGGGAAAAAAAAAAAGTACAATACCACGTAGTGTGGGATGTGGGTCTACTTGGGGAAAGGTAAATGCATGTATTTTACATTTATGCAACAGAAAAGTATTAAAATAAAATATGTAAATATAAGTCCTTGCATGAAATAAATTTTATACACAACGAGCGTTTAGACTCCGTTTTTATTCAACAGCACATGCATACATACATCTTTCCTTTCCCACTAGCTTACGGCTAGTGTTTTCAACTGCTGTTTGACCCTCTGCCTACCTGTGTCCGGGTCAAAGAGAGCGTTAAAGAAATGAGGTGACTGTGAGAGCATGACGCAAAGTATACAAACGCATGACAATGACTGAACTACTGTACATCAACCTGTAAAACGCAGCATGACCGGGCATGTTTATTAACCGACTCAGAGTCCAACCTCTGCACACAGACAGTACATTGGTGTCTGACGCCTTGGCTAAGCATGGGAATTACATGGTAAACCCCACTCGTTTACCATGAGGAACTAACGGAGCACATTTTCTTTACTCTCCAAGCTAGTGTCATTTCACCTCTTCCCGCGCCGCAGAGGTATCCATCACCGCCACATCATTTCCACCATTATACATAATTTGTGTAATAATTTATTTTTGTTATTGTTTTTTTATATGTTTATAGAGACCCAACGACAGCACCGGAGCAGACAACCAACAGAGTCAGTTTGTGTTATGAACCATGGTGTACCAACCACTATGTGTATGACCCATAATGGCCCATCACCCACCTGATAGTGCTGTAGCATTGTTGTGTGTATTAGTATTTTTAAATGGTGTGACAGTGACAACCTGTACATCACAAACTCAGCATAGATGTAGCACTGAGAAAGTTTTGTTGTCAAGCCTTATGTAGCTCAGTATCTGTGACTGGTTACTGTGTTGTAATTTGTGTGCCTATTTTCGGTGTGTGCCAGTGCTGTAAATACGCTTTTTATGTGTGCTCAAGTTGTGTGTACCAATGTTTTTGAGTGATCATCAAATATCTGTGTGCTTCTTCTGTTGAAAGAAAAAAAAATGTTGCTCCGATTTCAATCCCACCCCCCCCTTCAGCAAAAACCTGTCACTCCCGTCCCGTCAGCCAGACTCAACAGTTGAGAGCAAGTCGATAACTTTGCACTGTCATGGTCACATCTTTGTAGACTTTTGCACTGTTTTGCACCAGTGAACTTTTAACATTTCTTTGATATGTTTTCAGGCATCAGAGAGATAACATCCACAAAAAGAAATGGAAAAAAGAGTCATGCTTTAAAAAAAACACAACAAAAAAAAAACACAACAAAAAAAAAACAACACCACTCTTACCTTGTATTAATGAGGCATTAAAATGGCAAGCTGTGCTGTTAAGAATGGTAAATAATAAGTCCGAAAATCTAATGAAGGGTTGTTTAGAAAGAAATAACAGATACTTAACAATAATTGAATGTCGATCTTCATATTCAGTTGTACTTTGATTAACAAAGACAGCTGATATATAAATACATTATTTCATATCACACCTCAGGCATTGTCAGTTTTCTGTAGTACTTTAGTTTCGTATTAATAGTTTGACAATCATGTAGAATTGGATTTTTTCTCTTTTTCTGCACACATGTAAATTGGTATATTAGTATGTAATACTAAGTAATGCCAAACCATTATCACCATCACACTGGACAAGTGCCTATGTTATATAAATTGTTCTTACCATTCAGGAGTATATCGCTTAAACAACACATTGACCTAATGCACATTTATTTTAAATTAGCCATAAGTCACTAGCCATCGAAAAGAAGCATCAGTTCTGAACTCAAAAGCACACAATAAGGACCCCCTTACGGATCAGCATCTAAAGGCAAGCAATGAGCATTACCTAGTTAAAAACCGAAAGGAAAAACCACTGAGGACAAAGCATAGATTCATTGTTTGTGTGGAAAAGTTAGTGAGAAGGGACCAACTTTTTACCAAACAACTGCAAACACACTGCCAACAACTCGCCGAGATCTGCGTGCAGTCAGGTACAGCAGATCTGAATCTGCCTACAGAGCTGAGCAAAAGCAGAAGGGGTACAGTGTGCTGGTCTATATCCGACACGGAATTAAATAAAAAATAACAACAATAAAACAGCAGCTGTTATCGTGAAACGGGAATCAACAAGGCAAATAAGAGGCAACTACTGCGTGCCGTTTAGTGAGATTTCAGAGTGTGTGTTTCGAACACCGTGCATTTTGTGGTTAGTTATCTCAGTAAGGTGTTCAGTGATCGTTTTTGATTGGTTTGTTGTTTAGGGATTTTTTGTGTCTTTTTTGACCAATACAGTTCAGACTTGTACAATAAATAGTGATAAATAAAAAAAACACAGAAATGATCATTTTTCAGTGAGTGTTGATTTATTTATTTTTTCAAACTAACCCAGTTTAAAGTACTTTAATTTAACTTTCATTAATGCATAATTTTGATGCCATAGAGACTTTTCACATATTATTTGCATAAAACACAATAATAAAATAAGAAACTTAAATAAAATCTAAATATAAGGCAGACATGTGGCATTGTGAGTCTTGCCCTTGCCTTTGACCAAGGCGTTGGCTTGAGAACTGCAGGTGTTGCTCAGGTGCTGCACTGCGGCTGTCTGCTGCTTATGAATATGTAGGTTGAGTCCAATGCAGCGGAAGAGTTTCCTCCCAGAGGGACTAATGAAGTACGAAAATGGTGCAAAGGACACAAACACAGCATCAAAGAATATGACAAGAACATAAATACGTGACGGACAGTTGTAAAACAAAAAACATACTGTCCTGTCTGTGTAAGTGATAAATCACAAGATGACAGAGATTTTCACTACAAAGCGCAGAGATTGATTACATTGTGACACTCAAGATCACGGCAATAAACCAAGTGACATGAGAAGATGGAGCTATAGCACAAGTCCAGCCCATCCCTCACATGATCCATAACTGCTTCATTCAGGAAGACAAGCATGGCAGGCGGACCAGCAGCCATCGGCACGCCCACGTCCTGCAAAGCCATTGCTCCTATCATGTCCATCAAAATGATGGCCTCTGTCACATGAAACATAACTCAGCCTGTGTCCAAACACACAAGAGCATTTATGACAACGGCAGTTTGAAGTGTGACATGTTCAAGTAGCTCAGGTAGCCTCATAAAAGGTGAAAGTTACTGTATGGTTAAGGGCACTTAAAATGATCAGATCTTGGCTTTACAAGCCCAAAAACAGAAATGTGTTAAATCCCCAATCATTCTTTTTTTTCAATATAGTCTCTGATTGTCATGCTCAATAAATGTTGCTGCTCCAGTGCTACTCAAGTGAAGTCGGTGGTGAGTTTTGTCTTGAGCCAGTCGATGCTGCACACACTGCCATGGAGTGCCCGGCTCCGCAGCCAATGAGAAGAGGCTTTAGACCAGGAACGAGTTGTGGATGAAAGACGTCGGCCTGTGAACCGTCTCCACACATCCCATGTTCATTCCAGCCCCATGAGAGGAGACAGCCCCCTGAAAAGGAGAGGGGTCATGGGTCAGAGACGCTGACAGGAGAGAGACGGGGCTGCACCGCCGTACAAAGCAGGCTAAAATT